CACATATACATACAGACACACACAGAGATACACACAGACACACATACATACAGACACACACAGACACATACAGACAGACACATATACATACAGACACACACAGAGATACACACAGACACATACTTACAAACAGACACACACAGACACATACAGACAGACACATATACATACAGACACACACACACACACATACACATAGATACATCCATAGACACACACATAAATGGACACACATACATACAGAAACATACATACAGACACACAGAGACACACACACACATGCAAAATATTTTAGTCACCCTCCTATTACCTCCCTTTTAGGTGCAGGAGTGTGACTTCCCTGTGGTTCAGGTTGATGGGAGTCAGAGTTCCCCCCCTCTCCTTCCTCCCGCACGGCTCTCGGTGGTTGCTGGGAGGAGTGACCGGGGCAGTCATTTCCTCCCAGCATCTGACATAATGAGAGGGGGCCCAGTCATGCTGTTACCAGGCCCACTCTGATGATGATATTCATTGATGTTAGGGCCACCTGATGAGTTAATACAGGTGTGGGCCTAATACAGCATGGTACAGGGTTAATACAGGTGTGGGTTAATACAGCATGGTACAGGGTTAATACAGGTATGGGGCTAATACAGCATGGTACAGGGTTAATACAGGTGTGAGGTTAATACAGCATGGTATAGGGTTAATACAGGCGTGGGTCTAATACAGGTATGGGGCTAATACAGCATGGTACAGGGTTAATACAGGTATGGGGCTAATACAGCATGGTACAGGGTTAATACAGGTATGGGGCTAATACAGCATGGTACAGAGTTAATACAGGTGTGAGGTTAATACAGCATGGTACAAGGTTAATACAGGCGTGGGTCTAATACGGGTATGGGGCTAATACAGCATGGTACAGGGTTAATACAGGTGTGGGGCTAATACAGCATGTTACAGGGTTCATACAGGTGTGGGGCTAATAGCGCATGATACAGGGTTAATACAGGCATGGTCCTAATACAGCATGGTACAGGGTTAATACAGGTGTGAGATTAATACAGCATGGTACAGGGTTAATACAGGTGTGAGGTTAATACAGCGTGGCACAGGGTTAATACAGGTGTGAGGTTATTAGAGCATGGTACAAGGTTAATACAGGTGTGGGGCTAATACAGCATGGTACATGTTAATACATGTGTGGGCCTAATACAGCATGGTACAGGTTAATACAGGTGTGGGGCTAATACAGCATGGTACAGAGTTATACAGGTGTGAGGTTAATACAGCATGGTACAGGGTTAATACAGGTGTGAGGTTAATACAGCATGGTACAGGGTTAATACAGGCGTGAGGGTAATACAGCATGGTACAGGGTTAATACAGGCGTGGGTCTAATACAGCATGGTACAGGGTTAATACAGGCGTGGGTCTAATACAGCATGGTACAGGGTTAATACAGGTGTGAGGTTAATACAGCATGGTACAGGGTTAATACAGGTGTGAGGGTAATACAGCATGGTACAGGGTTAATACAGGTGTGAGGGTAATAGAGCATGGTACAGGGTTAATACAGGTGTGAGGTTAATACAGCATGGTACAGGGTTAATACAGGTGTGAGGGTAATACAGCATGGTACAGGGTTAATACAGGTGTGGGGCTAATACAGCATGGTACAGGGTTAATACAGGTGTGAGGTTAATACAGCATGGTACAGGGTTAATACAGGTGTGAGGTTAATACAGCATGGTACATGGTTAATACAGGTGTGGGGCTAATACAGCATGGTACAGAGTTAATACAGGTGTGTGGTTAATACAGCATGGTACAGGGTTAATACAGGTGTGAGGTTAATACATCATGGTACAGGGTTAATACAGGTGTGAGGTTCATACAGCATGGTACAGGGTTAATACAGGTGTGAGGTTAATATAGCATTGTACAGGGTTAATACAGGTGTGAGGTTAATATAGCATGCTACATGGTTAATACAGGTGTGAGGTTAATACAGCATAGTTAGCCAGGTTAATGGAGCATGGTACAGGCCGCTCTGCAGAAACAGGTCCCAGGTTCTGCATATTCCCATGGCTCCCTCTTTCACGGCTTCCATAGAATGCTAGGAAATAGTGACAGGATGTGATATCAGTTTCCTTTTAGTGCGGCTACGGAGGAGTGTGGGCAGAGGGGAAACTAGTGAACCTGTCAGGGCCCCTGTCAGGGACAGTCAACGGGCCCTGCTGCTGCTCCCCGCGCTGCTCTCTATATAGAAGATGAGAGGAAATAACCATCTGTCACTTCCTCCCAACTGGCCAACACTACAGGTCACAGTGTTAAAGGGCCGCGGCATCTGACCGAGACCATGTTCAACAATAATACTGATCCGGAAGCCTTAAATGCTTAGGGCCCCCTCCAGCATGCAGGCCCCAGTGCAGCCACACCATCTGCACCGGTGGTAGTTCCTCCTTTGCACCATCACTGGTCCTAACTGTGGATTCCCAGAGGTAGATGACCCTGTTCTTACAGAATAGATGTTAAGGGCGTGACGTTATGACAGAGTTTACATTTTGTGAAAGCAAGTCGCTCCTGAGAGCAAGGAATGAGGGTCGCAGATGCTGACATCTGTTACTTCAATAGACAATGAGCAGCCTGTGCCTCGCTACTGCTGTGGATTTCAAATTTCACATGAAATTTAAAAAAAAAATACAGCTGAGTGCATCGTGCTGTGATGTACACGCTCTGCCTGATGTATTTCCACCTCTTGTAAAACCATGTAATTTGAGCCCAAAATGTGTTTCCTTTCATTGGTCAGGCAGCATTAAATAGCAAAAACAGCCTTGCCAAAAAGTGTACAAAAACAGCAGATTGGCAGCTGCTAATTCCATTACGATCTTACCGACCACCTGATTGGCAACGGAAACAATAGGTCATGCGTTGTGATCGGCATGTTTGGAATTATGTTTCTTTAGGTCAGTCGAGGTCACCGTTCTGTCACCATTCTGTTTGTGGGAATCAGGTCCGAATGTCAGTGCCAACTGGTGACAACTTGCAACAAGACCTAGAAGTAGTCAACAAATTATTGACAAATTATTTATAGAAAAAAAAAATCAGCAGACTTTTTTTTACTTCAGTTTCAGAACCAACTAGGAGATAACTTATTCTAAGCATCACCCTTAAACATGCTACGGTAGTACCAATCTTAAAAAAAAATCTCTTGACCCGTCCTCCCCTTCTAAGTATCATCCCATATCCCTGCTCCCTTTTTACTCGAAGCTTCTAGAAAGACTTGTCTTAACCCATCTGACTTGTTTCCTCAATTCCAACTCTCTTCTTGACCCTCTTCAGTCTGGCCTCTGCCCCCTCCACTCTACTGAGACTGCTCTTATTAAAGTCACCAACCTAATCACAGCTAAATCCAAAGGTCACTACTCCATACTAATTCTTCTTGACCTCTCTGCTGTCTTTGACACTGTTGACCATGTTCTCCTTCTCCAAACTCTTCAATCACTCGATCTCTTGATTTTCCTCCTATCTCTCCCAATGCTCATTCGGTGTCTCCTTTTCTAATGACACCTCCTCCCTTTGTCCTGTCTCTGTTGGAGTCCCCCAAGGCTCTGTCCTTGGTCCCTTTCTATTTTCTCTTTGCACTGCCTCTCTTGGCAAACCTCATTTGGATTCCAATACCACCTGTACACTGATGACACTCAGATATATCTCTCCTCCCCGGACCTCTCCCCTGCGTCCTGCAACGTGTCACTGCTTGCCTTTCTTCCATCTCTGATTGGATGTCCTCCCACTTTTTGAAACTCAATCTCTCTAAAACTGAACTCCTTGTCTTTCTTCCTCTTAATACTGATCCTCCTCTTTTGCTATCTCTTCAAGTTAGTGGAACCCACATCAGTCCATCCTTGCAAGCACTTGGTCTTGGCATTACACTTGATTCTGGCCTCACAGTTGAGCCTCACATCCAGTTTGTTACCAAATCCTGTAAATTCCACCTTAAAAACATAGTCCACATCCGCCCTTTCTTACGCAAGATGCTACTAAGGAACTTGCCAAGCTCTAGTAATCTCTTGCATGGATTATTGTAACGCTCTCCTAACAGGTCTTCCCACTAGTCATATTGCCCCGATAGTCTGTAATGAATGCTGCAGCTAGACTGATTTTCCTCTCCAGTTGCCCCTCTCACACCTCACCCCTCTGTCAGTCCTTACATTGGCTTCCTGTATGCTATAGGAGTCAATTCAAGGTACTAATCCACACCTATAAAGCACTGACCAATTCTAGCCCCTCCTATATCTCTTCACTGATTTGTAGGTATGCCTCTTTTCAGTCTCTCTGCTCTGCCCAGGTCCTTCTCCTGTCCGCTGCTCGCACCTGTACGGCCAACTCACGCTTGCAGGACTTCTCGCTGGTAGCTCCCTTCCTATGTAATAGCCTGCCTACGACCATCAAGCTCTCCTCTAGTCTTCAATCATTTAAAAAGTGCCTCAAAACCCATCTCTTTAGGAAAGCTTATGGCCTCCCAGAGTAACCTTGCTCTCTCCTAAAGGGCAGCACTATACTCTCTCCTCCAGCTCTGATTTACTGCACCTTGTTTGATTGCTACCTTCTGTCCTGTTGTGTTTTTCACCTCACCTCCTATAGACTGTAAGCTAGCAGGGTCCTCTTCCACCTATTGTTCCAGTAAGTTTTTGTAATTGTCTCATTTATTGTTAAATCTCCCCCTTTGATAATATTGTAAAGCGCTGAGGAATATGCTGGTGCTATATTAATACCAGTAATAATAATAATATTAATATTAATAATAATCATAGATTTTCTAATTTCTGGCTAGCTCAATCAGCTCTTCATTTGTCTTTTTGATTGCTCTTGCGATGAAAAGATGGAGAACCGATACTATATCTATTCTCTTAGGCAGCCACCACAGCCAAACAAGAGCTGCCAATTTGGGTGTTCACTACAAGTCATAAAACACTGCAAATCTTGGCCAATCTTCAAAATTTTGATAGCTGTATCTAAGATGTCCACTGCTGCCAGTCTTGGCCATGCCGTATTGTCAAATCCTGGCAGTCTTGGCCATTCAGTGTTGTCCAGTGTTGGCAGTCTTGGCCATTCAGTTTTGTCCAGTGCCGGCAGTCTTGGCCATCCAGTGTTGTCCAGTGACACCAGTCTTGTCCATTCAGTGTCTGTCCAGTGTTGTCAGTCTTGACCATTCTGAGTCTGTCCAGTGCTGTCAGTCTTGGCCATTCAGTGTTGTCCAGTGCCGGTAGTCTTGGCCATTCAGTGATGTCCAGTGCTGCCAGTCTTGGCCATTCCGTGTTGTCAAATGCCGGCAGTCTTGGCCATTCAGTGTTGTCCAGTGTTGGCAGTCTTGGCCATTCAGTTTTGTCCAGTGCCGGCAGTCTTGGCCATCCAGTGTTGTCCAGTGACACCAGTCTTGTCCATTCAGTGTCTGTCCAGTGTTGGCAGTCTTGACCATTCTGAGTCTGTCCAGTGCTGCCAGTCTTGGCCATTCAGTGATGTCCAGTGCTGCCAGTTTTGGCCATTCAGTGTTGTCCAGTGCCAGCAGTCTTGGTCATTCAGTGTTGCCCAGTGCTGCTCATCTTGACCATTCACAGTATTGTATCTGTTTGTCTTATTTAGTTTATTCCATTTCCTTTCAGCTTTTTTTCCACCTTGAGTGTCTAAGAGGCTGCAGTCGTCATTCTCAAATGGAGCCTTTTACACTCCGTTTCACCCCTCTTTCTCTTTTCTTTCTTTATAGAAGCAACTGTGTCCTCAATCAAAGACCTTCTGACAAAGCATTTGTTTGAGCATTTTCAATAATACGAAGCGTACTTATCGTACACCTGCAAAACACCCCATCCCTTTCACAGTGCTCTGAAAGACTGCTCTATTTTATGTTGTTTTGTGTTGTGTCTTACTGCTCACTTAACCTTGAGGCTTCCCACAGGTTCAGCTATGTTCCTACCTGCTATAGCTTCAAATTCCTTTGTTGGTTCCATGTATACATTTGTGTTGTATGGTAGACGGCAGCCTGACAGTAACATCAAATTAAAAGGCCCTTTATATTTCCATACAGTCTTTCCTTCATTGGTGAAAAACAGATATTATTGTAGCATAAATAAGACCATTCACAGTTGACCAGATGGCAGTAGTTCACCAGAGCTTCATGGACAGGAGTTCTTTAAAAGTACTGAATCCTACATAATGTAAAAGGAACATTTTACCCTAAATAATATCAAGAAAATGTTTAGGTTTCCTCCCTTTAATATACAGCAAAATAACCCAAGAGGACAGAAACATTACTTAGAACTATTCTACGATATGCGTGACATAGTCTATGCTTGGTTAATGTAGGTGGAGATCAGGTTGGTATCTACCTTTGGAATTCACTGAAAGAAGCACCTTAAATGCTGTGTGATGCTAAGGGTTACCCCAGACATATTGGGGTGCATTCTACATCCTACAACTAAGTTGCCTGTTAGATCCCTTTAAATAATGTCCTCAATATTCAAAACTTGTTTTCCTAAATGTTTTAACCTAACCGCCATAGCTAACCCACACCCTATAACAACCTATGCCCACTGTTTATTACTGCAAGAAGTGGTACAAAAATACTTCCTGTGAATTATACGATGATGATCATTTTAGTAATTCCAAAAAATAGGGTTTATAAAACAATCCTCTCAGATAAAATAAATACAAGTCAAGCTTCTCTAGCATTGGAATGAATGTCCTCACCAGCTTCAGGCCCCGAGGGCTTAGTATTTCTGGAATCGCTTACATAGTTACATAGTTTGCTGGGTTGAAAAATACTTTCTGCTATTTATCCAAAATAAGTCAAGGAACCCAATTCAAATCAATTTCCAGTTCTGCTGAAATATAAAAATAAATAACTTATTTTTACGCCAAAGAGGCAATTATATTTCTATTTGTATCAACAGCTGTTAAATCCCCGTAATAATTAGACAATAGGTTCAGGTGTTCGTCCCCCAACTAAGCGCCAGGACGATGGTTTACTAGTGCAGAGATTCTGTAAAATTGCCAGTTAAAAAATTCCCATTGTGGAAAAGACAGAGGATTGTCTTTCGAAACGTAGCTTGCTTCCTCTTTGAGAAAAAAACCCCAGTAACAACTCTTGAAAGAAGCTGGGTTGCTTTACTCTGTGTCTTTGATCACAGTGCGGTCTTATTAAATCTCGTGTTTTGTCTTAGCCGTCGAGTCTGACAACAGTCACCTAGAAGGCCCTCATATTACATAATTTCTCCCAATAAATGAATGAAGAAAGCGGGATATGTCTTTGTATCTTAATATGACTACTTTGTACTTCTTGCTATAATCCAAAGGCCACCACGGTATGCCTGCGCACCTCCACGCACTCCTGATTTAATTATTAGGCCTTAGAGCAAAAAAAGTGTCTTCAAAGAACCCTTTCTGTGCAGGCCTCAATAGAGCAGAAGGAAAAACATTTTAAGCTGATGCGATGACACTTGTAGACGCAAATATATTAAATAAATCATGATTCGTTTTGGGGCAAAGTCAGACTTACATCAATTTTGGGAAAAAGCTAGATTCTAATGAGTGACAGGTCAGTGTTTTCTGTCACTTGCACAAGTAATGGCCCCAAGCTGACACCGCTCGGTGGGAGACTAATACTTCTGAACAAAAGTTGTTTTGGAGTAAGAAAGACAAGCTCGAAATCCCAAGGTGACTGCAAGGAATGTCTAATGACAGGAAAGCCATATTTACTGGCAGGCAGCAGAGATGCAAGCCGTGACAGCTGACACAGCCTGATTGTATTAAATATAGGTGATAAAGGCGCGCTTGACAGGTAAGGAGAGAGATGAAGACAGAGTTGCTGTAAGAAAGCAGGCCGGTGGGGCGTTTTATTATTATTATTACTTTTTTTTATTAACAAACATTCTAGAACTTTGTCAAAAGAACACAGATATAACACAATTGTGTTTATTTGTCGTTATTTCTACATTGTTTAATTTTTATTCTGCTCGTTTATAGCTTTGAGTTTAGAAAAAGAATGAAGAAGAAGAGAGCCAGAAATGGATAAAACAAAGAAAAATGCATAACAGGGATTTTCAAGATTTTCTTAATACTCCTCCTTTTCTCGCACGTTTTGCTTTCAGTCATTAATAAAAGTCTTTCTGAAGCCCCATACTAGATTTCGACCATACTGAAGGCAGTGATTGTGCGTCTGTGATCTTTGTCACCTATTCCATATCACCTGGGTTTCAGCCATCACCGAGCTGCAGGTTTCACAATGCCTGTGAGGGCCACATTTGAAACATGCATTGCAGTCTGTCTTTGATACTATCCCCATGCATCGCCATGAACTCTAACTTTCTCTGAACGTGTAGAGGAGTGCCATAGTGTTCAACAAAAAAAACAACCCATTTCTCTTTAGAAAGGGAATCGGGCAGCAGTAATAGATGTCTAATGTTTTTTGATCTGATAATATAACATTATTTAAAGCGCTTTTTAATCTTGACTTTAATTTAAATTGAAAGTGACGGTGCTACACTTTGGGATGGTAGTGCTTGCAGTAGTGGATGCTGCATGTTACACCTGATGCGTTTTCCCTTTTTCTTTGTCAGAGAATCTGATATTATTTCTTTTTAATACATTGTTTGATTCTCCCGAGTAAAACCGTCATTTACTAAATGTTTTTTTCTGTTAAAGTAACTCCTATTCTTGGACATTTTGAAACCACAGACAATGACATTATTGAAATCACACTTCCATCAACATGTGCTGTATGCGGACCGCTGTCTGTACATTGTGGCGGTATGATATATATATGTAGTCATACATCAAGCACAGCAGGACGCTCTAATGAGACTCAATTTAACGTATTTTACTAATAGATCTCTCTCGTTCATTATATACGACTTTGTTCTCACTCACTGTAAAATGAAATAAATGAATGCGCTCTTTGCACTGAATAATAAGATACCCCTCCTGCCCATATACGCTTCTCCCCATTTCTCTCTTTTTGTTTTAACACTTTAAGTGCTGGAATCGTATGCAATGTGTTACTTATTTATCAGGCACTTAAAGTATTTTTTCTCCGTAGACAGAATTATTCCCTAACATCATAATGTTCCTTTTTGTTCATAGCTGGTATTATTGTTTTTTCTTTTTTTACAAAGAGCAGTTAGTGTTTTATTATATTAGATATGTTTATTAATAATGTATCAGCGCGGCGGTAGCCTTGTTTATAAAGAATATATTCATGTTTTATTCTGTGTAGTGATGATATATTCGGCTGGTAATAGTCAATGCTAAAACAATATATGGTTACATTGAAAATAATGCATAGAAAGTGTGAGCCCAGGGTCACTAACACAAAGAGCTTGCAATCTCAGTGAAATATTAATTAAAATAATGAAACAATTAGGGGGTTGACATATGTTAACTCAGGGACATATACCTGCTGATTGTCGGGGTCACTGCCGATGAAGAGTCAATGATTATATATTTATTGACAAAGAACAAACCTATATCCTGTTTGGGGGCTTAAGGAAATAAAGGTTGCAGGCTTAGAATGAAGGGGTACAGTCACTTACCAGGATTGCCAATATTATATTTACTTAATACCCTTATTTATCTAATCTGTGTGGGACCATTATATACGTGTTACTGTGTGTGTATGTGTCAGTGTGTGTGTATTGATCCCTGTGCATGTTTCAGTTTGTGTGTGTAGGTCACTATGTGTGCCAGTGTGTTTATCTTGGTACCTGTGCATGTCATTGTGTTTGTTTTGGTACATGTCTGTCATTGTGTTTGTTTAGGTACCTGTCTGTCATTGTGCTTGTTCTGGTCCCTGTGTGCATGTCTTTGTGTTTGTATTGGTCCCCCTGTGTGTGACATTGTGTTTGTATTAATACCTGTGTGTGCCATTGTGTTTGTGTTGGTCCCTGTGTATGCCAATGTGTGTATAGGTTGCTGTGTGTGTCATTGTTCTTGTATCAGTCCCTGTGTGTGTGTCAGTGTGTTTGTATTGGTCACTCTGCATGTATCTGGATGTTTGTATGTGTCACCGTGTTTGTGCATGGGTGTCAGTATATGTTAATGAGTGTATCTAAATTTGTGTGTGTCAGTGAGTGTGTGTGCATTGGTAAGTGTGTGTCGGTGTGGTTGTATTGGGTCGCCGTGTGTGCCAGTGTGTTTTAACAAGTATATGTCAGTGTGTCCCCGAGTGGTTGTATCGGTCACTGTGTGTGTTAATGAGTGTTTGTGAGTGTGTTTGTCAGTGTGTATTAGTGAGTGTGTGCTTTTATGATTGTGTGTTAGTGTGGTTGTATCATTCACTGTTTGTGTGTCAGTGTGTACCAATGTATATACCAATGTGTGTTAATGTGGGGTTCAGTATTTGTGCCAGTGATCGCCTGTATGTATATCTGTGTGAGAGAATGCATTTATGGGTCAGTGATACTGTGTGTCAGTGAGCTTCAGTGAGTGTGTGTTAAAGAGCGCATAAATAACTAAAAAAAGA